TTCACCCTATTCTCTCACTAGTGCACTGAAGTATCAGATAGAACTACTTGCCCCACCAGTATACGGCAGCACAACTTTTAAACTGAAGAAATACGCATCAGTTTAAGCCCTCTCTTACATTTTAAACTTTGTTTAAAATATTCACACAGGCACCCCATTAAATTGTGTCAAACCTTAAAAAATGTTAGTGCATTTTAATTACCAAAGGTTATTGTTGCTTATTTGTCTTAATAAGCAAAAATGTATGCCTTAGTCCTTAGAAAGAAGTCTGCTTTCATAAACATCTAAAACCTGGTTGCCAAGTTTCAACAAAGAATAAAAAAGAAAGAAAAGGAGATAGAGTAGCATCCATAGTATTCAATAGTGGTTTACTCTGATTTCAATCCTGCTATACTGTGGCCACTCATTTCCTGTTAGGTAATATCTGGAGGTGCAACTTAATCTACTCAGCCCATCCCCATATAAAACAGAGCTCAGCAATGAGAGGATCCATCATGAATACCTTGCTGGGAATAACAGAATGTGTGAAAAGATTAGACTAACCTTGGACTACAGCAAATTCTATACCAAAATTCTCAAGAGACCAAATGCTGAAAGATTTCATTAGCCTAAAACATACTAGTGAAATGGCTTCACATGGGTGTTCCGGATCTCTTCCTCCAGATTTTGTTACAAGGGGGGAAATTAATTGCTTGCTTGTACAGAAAATAGATGCCAGTTTGGTTTCAACATGTATAATTAAATTTGGTGTGCTGAAGAGAAAGAATAGGAATAGGAATTCTTGCTTTATTTTTAAAAACATATATACTGCCATTTCTGTCAGGAAGCATTCGAGGTGGCACACAATGGAACTATTGAAGTGCAATAAGTACGTAAAGTAAATGCAATTGCATTAAATGCTCAACAGAGAAAAACTTCAAAAAAATTACTGCTTGTTTGTTGGGCTAGATCCATTTCATGATTACTTAAAGTAGTTCCTTTGAAATCAACAAGGTTTAAAGTAATCATTACAACACAATAAAACTAACCTAAGTAAATTATTTGGTGGGAACCCCCCCCCCCAACAAACTCACAGAGACTGTGTGCCTCACCCCTCTCAGGATGTTCTTTCACAGCAGTGCCAAGACTCAGTGTTCTATGTCATTGCTAATTGAACTAAAATTAAGAAGGAAATGGGAAACGTTGCCCAAGAGCAGGTATTCTCCAAAATGTTCATTACCCCAGCAGTTTAAGAGTTTATAAATCAGCATCCTGAATTGTGCCTGGAAGTGAATCAAGAACCCAAAATAGCAAAAAAAAAAAAAAAAAAAAGGCACTTGTTCTGCGTTTTCATTTAGTGTTAGGTCTATATACAGTTGAAAGAAGACATATAAATACTTTTGGTAATGTTCATCAACCATAATATAATGCTACTTTGTAAATATATTTTAATACTGTTTGTTTATTTGATTTATACCCCACCTCTCTACCAGAAATGGCACTGAACCTGGCTGCATTGCAGTGTTGGCTCATATTTAGCTTGGTGTCCTCAACCACTCCAAGGTCTTTTTATTTTTCAGTTCTGTTGAGCTACATATTCCCCATCCCATGTTGATGCATTTGATAGCTTTTTCCTAGGTGGAGGACTTGGCATTTATCCCTATTGAATTTCATTATGTTGCTTTCAGCCCAGTGTTCTAGCCTATCTAGACCACCCTGGATCTTCTTTCTGTATGCTTTAACACACACGCATACATACACACACACCAACAAAAATAATGCATTAACATTTAAAACTGAGGAACATGCCACGCAAAGTTATCTCATGCCATTTAGATAGTAATTTCGATGAGTCAAAGGCAGGAAAATGAAACTTCAAGCCAAGTGTACATTTGATATTCAGAATCTCCTGCCTTTGTAATGTTAGGCATGGCCAGATGACTTTATGAATGGGATAAAAGGTATAAGAATTTTACTAGCTGATGGTAGTAATGATTTTCTAGAGCATATCACACTAATATTGTAGTAAATTGCAGCTACTTAATTTAATGGATTATATATTTGTATATATAAAATTATGGAATTATAAATTATGGAAAATAAACCACACTGCAAAGCTAACTTAAGAAATTTCACTTACACTTATTATTATATTTATATTTAAATAATAAGTGTAAGTGAAATTTCTTAAGTTAGCTTTGCAGTGTGGTTTATTTTCTAGTGCAAAAGGTATGACTGCATATTTGCAATTGGTGCAGTAGAAAAGCACTGTCTCACTTGTTCTCTGTAAGAATGTTTAGAGTGGACATCTGCGCCAGGGGGCTGGCAGTTTTGCTAGGCAGGGGTAGGTAGATGAATCCTGCGTGCATCTTCTGAGGCATCTTCTATGTATCTTCAAAACATATTGCTCTTCTCGTCCCAGAAACAAGCTCATGCTTGTTTTGAAGCCTGTATCAAAGCTAATAGCAATTTAATATCTGCACAGAAGCACAGAACATTATTTTGTGGGTAGCTATTTATATGGAACAGTATACAACCAGACTGCTGTAATCCTGCGGATTTCATTGTACCAGTGGGAATGATTGCTTGCACAACGGGGAGTTATTGTTCTAAATGCATCCCTGGGAATAAGCAGAAACATTTGTTTCAGTATCTGGAGTGGTTAGTGGACTGGCAAGCTCTGTTGACCTAATCTGTTCTGAAAATTAGCATTTCTGCTTATTCTCAGATGCCTATACAAATTATAATTCCTCATTGCACAATTGCTTGCTTCCACAGGTACATGGACACAGTAGGATACTACTCACTAAATAGGGCTGAGGATTTTTTTAGTGTATCACTTGTTTGTTCAGGTTTCTAGTCCTTAAGTGTGTGTGATGAGATTTGAAAAACATACCATAACCCTTTGGTTTAGAAACGCTTACTGTTTTTGCTTATCATCTGATGATTTGATCTGTATTTGATCTATTTGATCTATTATTATCTACTGAATTTTTATTATATTTTAATTTCTGTTGTACTTGTTTGTTATAAATCATCCTGAGATGCAAGTATAGGGATGGTTTATAAAAGCTTTAGATAGACAGACAGACAGACAATATGCCATTCATCTGGCAGCTTTAATTTATCATAAATAAGCTATAATAATAATTACAACAACCTTCCTCAGCATCTGAAGTCTTGCCACTAGTGACTATATTTCTACTACAGTATAAAGGAATATTATTTAACTTTGGGTTTAACTAGTGAACATATATACTATAACATTTGTGTTAATCAAATCTGTTTATGATTGCGAACATTGTTGTGGTTTTGTATTTGAACTATACTGCCCTTTTCCTACCTATGTTCCTAACAACTTAGATAGGGAACCCCAAAGAGTTTACGAACTCACAGAAAAGCATGGCTGTTTAATGTAAGAACATCTTTCCATCTCTTCAACATCCCAGAACATTTTAAAAGGAATCTATAGCCCATGCATACAGTTACGAAAATCTTAAACTGTTACAATGAGCTAATGTCAGTGCTGGGTCCAGGTTTTGAAGTGCCCTTAGCCAAGACACCCTTGATGGGCCCCCTCACCCAAGTCCGCCTACTCCCTGCTCTGGTCACCAGCTACTACTTTTCCTTAGCCTCTTTGTCACCCTTGCTACCATTTGCATGCTCAATACAAAGAACACTAGTTGGTTAGTGTTTGGATAGAAGACTACAGACCTGCATTGTGCACAGGGCTGGACTCGGTGGCCCTCTATACTCCTTCCAACTGTATGATTCTTTCAGTGGTGCCTTCAGACAATAAATGGGACCATGCTACCTTCATCAGCCTCGGTGTTAAGAAAGTTTAGAATATTGCTTCCATAAATGTCCTTTTAGTAGATAAGAACCAAGTCATCCTACTTTTGTCTTTCCCTAGCATTAAATGGACTTCAGTGATGTGATGAATTGCCACCTTGAATGAAAAGAACAGTCTTGCTTGGCACGCATCCAGCAAAATACATTTTAGGGTACTGCACAAAGACGGTTTTCATCTATTCAAATGAATATGATGGGCATGGGGGCTTATAAAAATACATATTTTGGTATATATAATGTACTTAACATTTCACTTTAGGGCCGCTGTGGGTGGTCATTTGGTACAAAGTGAATGCAGCACTCTTGAACCACATATTCTGGGTTAGCTCTTTAGTGATCGAGCTTAGGTTAGTGGTGACTGCTCTTACCCTATACTTCTCTACTAAAAATAATTGTGTTCAAAGTACTGTCAAAGCATTATTTTTATCCTCCTGTTACCGTATTTATTTCTTTGCTATTCTTTTTAGGAAAAAAAATTCTCTTCATCTGATTTTTGGAATTATTAACATAGTTGGCATGTTCAGATTCCAGTTAAATCTATGTGGTCTTTTGATGTTTTACTTTCCACATTCTGATCTGCTACATGATTACACGTGTAAATGTTGTAGCGTCTTTTAGCTTGACTGTCATTCACACAGAAAGAGAGGGTGCAGGGGGAGAGAGAGAAATACTTGGGAGGAAAGGAAACATTTTATAAGTTGTGGCTACAGCCCTCTCCCTTTTCCTCTGTGTGAATGTGTGTGTCTGTGGGGGGGTGTCATATTAAAATATGAGGGTCATGGTTTTCTAGAATCCTGTGCACCAGCAAGTACATAAATCTAAAACGTATACTTCTGAAAATGAATGACTGTAACTCTTGAGGGGAAAAGGCTGGGAAATATAACTGGACAGATTCATCTGGTACAGGCTAGGTTTCATACATTCCTCTTCCCTACTTAATATAGTGAATGGTATTAGTTCCTAGTCCAAATAATTGAGATAAAACTTTGGATTTTAGCTGTTTTGTTCTTTGTCAAAATAATAGTAGCATGTTGTGTCCACAGGAAGAATTGTTGCGCCTTCTATAGACATTCACTTGTTACCAAAGCACTTACGGAGGGTCATTATCATTATTATCTGGGCAAAGATGCTCTTTTTCACCTGACTCGGCCTTCTCATTTTTCCCACAGCTTGCGAGAACATCACCGTTCTGCCATTAAGGTGATACGTCGAATGCAGTATTTTGTGGCAAAGAAGAAATTTCAGGTGAGTTGATGAATAGAGTGCTACTTTTTCTAAATAAACCCTTTTATTCTTCTGGCCTATTGTTTCCTTTATGAGCTTAAGAAAGGAAAGACCAGGGCAATTCATTTTAGTAATGGTGAGCTACACCCACAATTCTCTTCCTTCTTGAATAGGGTGGTTGTTTAGCAGCAGGTTAGTCAACTGTGGATGCACTGGGAACAAGCTAAGCCCCTGAAATGCAGCATGAATTAAAATGTTATTTTCTGCTAATGGACTTGACCTTTCACCTCTTGTTATCTGTATCTCCTTGCAATGCAAACATTCTCATATGTCTTCATTAATTCTGAGCTGTATATTATTGCCAGGCTGACTCAGTGGGCCTAGAGATTAGGATACTACCTTAGCCTTGTTTCTGTCTTGCTGAGGCCCTGATAAAAAGCTGGGATAGAAGTATGTTAGCACGGTGGATGGTTGCAGCCACATTTCTCACACACATGCCTGGGAAAGCCTGTTCTGAGAGAACCGGTTAGCTGTATCTTGAAACATATTGTTCCTGTACTTTCCAGTGTCTTTTTTTTTTTTGTTGGGGTTATGGCATCTCATGACCACATAATCAGCTTTAAGAAGTTCTTCAGGAATAAGAGCCTTTTGCACAGTATTCATATACAAAGATCGAATCCATGATCCTTGCCTTCTCAAGAATTATCAAGGTCATTCAAAACTTAGAAATACTCATATTTCCACATTCTCCTGCAAGTTCCATCTCACTCTTGACAAACTTCCATTATGTCTTGTGTTCAAACACTGGAATTGAATGGAATAGACAGAAAAAAATATTTGCTCCATGCTGCAGAGGAGAAGAAATACAGTCCTAGGTCCAGACAATCCAGTGTTTTAAGCAAAACAGATTCTGTAATGTAGGTTAGATCAATTTCAGAATTTCTCCTGATTTTGCTTGTTATGGCAAGAGCAATGGAACTCTGCATGGCACTGATGCCTCACCCTCAGGTAGTGGAAACATCTTTAGTTTCTGATATTTCAGTGAGACATCTCCTGCCTACCTTTAGACATACCTCCTTGCGTTCCACAAGGGCTTGAAACTTGTTTTAAGAAAGAATGTAGCCTGTGTTGCCTGTAATTCCACATTGGATGATCCCTCATCACTCCTGTGGATTACAAACACGCACATGACCTAGCCTTAGGGAGGCGTTTCTGAAGGAGATACTATAGTCATCTCTTTAGTGGACTTTCCACTGTAGAGAAAAGGGTTGTGTTACAATGAAGTTCAGAAATAAGGATATGTTCTGAATCAGAATGCAAGGTCCATGTCTGCAGAGCGCCTTATTCAGGCCCTGGTGTAGTGTCATTTCCTTTTGGAGAAACTGCCTGTCACATTGGCAAAAGTACCTGTTGCCTTTGTCAAATGACCATATTTGACAAAAATTATAGATATTAAAAATGTTAATTTAACACTGTTCTGATCTACACTCAAAGTTATAACCATTGTACTAGCCTTATATCTCTGCATCTTTTACATATATATATGTATGTAAACTATTTCTACCCTACTCTTCACCTGAAAAAAATCTCAAAGCTACATACATATAATCAATAAAACAATAAATAAGAACACCGGTAGTTTTCAGTCTACAAGTCAAAATATAAAAGAGAAAGGGATTGGAAGAGAAGATGGGTGGTTTAGTGGGGAGAAGTTCAGGCATCATTTCTTAAAGTTACATAGTAGTTCTCATACTGAGCAACTTTGAATGGAAACCGTTTTGGGAGTGCACATACCAATGCAACAGAGATAATGGTATGGCATAGCCTTGCCTTCTACCTCTTCTGTTACAGCCCAGTGAATTGGTACCGCCCAGTGGCAACTGAGGCATGATGGGATGGTTGTGGAGAGGGAAAAGCATGATGGTACCAGTTTCTCAACAAAGTCAGTAGAATAATTAATTGATTTACAGCTGGCTTAAGCAGAAGAAGACATTGTAAGAAGGCACATGACATCAGCTCTGCTGAAAAACTCGTTTCATTGGACTCTACCCTCAGCTGTCACCAGGCAGCAACCTTTCCACTGATTTAATTAAGCAAAATAAAAGCTGTCCCAATCCTTGGAGAGCTCCACTTTCTACAGTTGTGAGAAATATCCATTGATTTGAACTCTTCCTACCCTCTGTTATCAGTCTAGAAGAGGACCCATATCTTTCTCCCACAACTGCTAAGTTTATTCACAAACAGCAGAGAGTCTAGTAGCACTTTAGAGATGAGCCTATTATTAAGGCCTGTGATTCTGTTGACTAGAGTCCTCTTCATACATTCATGAAGCATTACCTTGAGCTGCAGAGTACATGGGCATTGCTGATCGGGTGAGGAGTACACAGATCAGAGGGAAGTGAACTACAGAAACTACCACAGTGACATTATTAATACTGGCCATTCACAAAACAGCTGTTGCTGATAATGCAAATGTCCTGAGCATGGGTCAACTAATTTAACACATGTAATGGCCACAATGTATAATGTCATTTCCTGCACTTGCTACATTTTATTTCCCTCTGATCTCTCTGTTGACCAGAATAAACCATGAAATCATGCATTTGTATGAAGCAAAGACCAGGGGCCTTCAGTGAGTAAGATTTCTCAAGTTCACAGTCCCCATCAGTTGCATACAACTTCCTTGGAAGTGAGCATTCATAGTTTTTTCTACAGCAGTAAAAAGTTAAAGCAGCTTGGACTATGGCTATGTAAGCCTTAGCATTCATGATGAGAAGGCATTATACAGCTCTTCAGTCATGGATTTTCCACTTAAGAAGAAAAGAAGAATGACTTTGTAGAGAAATATGGAAGAGTTGTGGGTGGAAGACAGTGATGTCCTAACTCATCCCAAAATTATGAGTGATGGGGAGAAAGGACATAATAAGAGTCTGGAAGTGCACTGTCATTAGAGAGGCTTCTGTCTGGTGCTGGCAAACTCTAATAGTAGCCAATTTGGTTCCTTAACATTTTAAACAGAGCACCTTTTTCAAAGGCACCTTTCTGCTAATAAATTCAGTATTTCCTGAAAGGGCTGCCTTGTATCCAAATTCCACATACTACTGAATATGAATAATAAAATCTGACGTACATGGTGAACAATGCTAAAAATATAGGTAGGGGTTCCATTGATGACAAGGGTAGCTGAGATGTCTGTTGCAGCTTACAGTGATGTAACCCAACATTATTGATGTATTTATAGCTCTGTATTTCAAAGTGTTACCGCAAACTGCACAGTGCTTTATACGTAATTCAGTTACCTTACTATCAATCAGGAATTGTGTATGTAATTTTCTGTAATCACTTCAGAGGACTTTCTGGCAAACAAAATAGTTCAAAGTCCTTTATACTTCAAAGAATGTTGCACACACTTGTACTTGGCCATTGTTTGGTTATACACCGCAGAATTTCCTGTTGTTTGAACTTTCCTCTCTTCTTTCGTATTTTGACTCTGAGGGAAATACTGTGCATGAAGCAGCTACACACGTGCACACACACAGAGAGAGACAGAGAGACAGAGAGAGAGAGAGAGAGAGAGTCTATAGCAGCTGCACACATATTTAATTTTTGTCATTCTCTGCCATGCCTTCTGCAAGCACTTTCTTGCATATTATGCAGAAAATTCTGACTCACTGAATATAATTATTACCATCTGCAGTGTTCTTAATTAGGAAGAGGGGAAAAACATAGTGAACAATAGGAAAGCACGACATTCATTTTCATCAATACTTAGGAGCTGAGGCTGCAAAGTTGTATACTTACACAATCTTCCTGCCATCTTAGTGGTGCTTAGTGGTGCTTGTTGACTAAAAGAAGTCCCCAGTGAGTTGTATTCTTTGATAATCACATATATGCATTTCCCCAGAAAAGTAATATTTTCCATGATATGATGAAGATTTGATCATTTTAAGTACAAAAAGGACCCATCATTTTACATAAACCTATGAAGTGATTGGACAGATCTCTACAGAGTTCCTTGAAAGGAGAAAAGTTGGGATATAAATGTATTTATTTAAGAAATTTAAATACCATTCCTATTTAGTACATTGAATACAGTGAAGTTCAGGATGGTTTACAGCATATTAAAAATATAACATATAGTACCAGACTAAATTTAAACAATCACAAGATAAAATTAATAACAATATCACATTAATAAAAATAAAACAGAGTATAAAATCAGAAATATAATTTGATAACATAATTATCAAATTAATTAAATCAAAATCAAACTAAATAAACAATCCCAGTGTCATATAAAAGAAATAAGCTAAAATTGTAATTTTTTAACAGTTAAAATACTATTAAAATAAAAAGGGGTTGACCTGGTACCAAAAGGTATATCATGTTGGCACCTGGTGCACCACTCAGGGGATCTGATTCCATAAACAGAGTGCCACAACTGAAAAGGCCCTTCTCCAGGTAGCTACCTGCTTTATATCCTTCATAGCAGGTTCCTGGAGAAGAACCTCTGATTATTATACAGGGTCCGTGCAGGTATACACACACACACAAACCACATCAAGCCATTCTTGGCACCTTTTCACATAAACTTTCCTCCATGTTATATGCAACTTTATACTATTCTTATTAATTTAGTTCCTGTACTGCCCCAATAACTGAAGTTCTCTGGTGGTTCACAGCAATTAATAAGACATGCAGTTATAAAATACAGATATAATAACAAAATGCAAATACAAGAAAACTCAACAAAAATTAAAACAATTGAAAATGAAAACAGTAAAAGCTAGACCTGCTAAAACATCTGACCTGTCCCATCATATACCATTAAACAGTTGGGAGTTAAGGGTCGTCTTAACCTGATGCTAAAAAGAAGGTGATGTTGGCACCAGGCAGGCCAACTGGCAAGAGATCATTCCACTGAGAAGGCCACAGAACTTAACACAGAACTTTCAGTGAGAGCTGAAATTGTATTGTGTGTTGAACTAGGACTGGGGAGACCTGGTTTCCGATCCCCACTTAGTCATGAGGCTTACTGGCTAACATTGAGCCATACAAGCTTTTTAAAAGACATGCATAATTTGCCAAAATAGGCACATTCCTGCCAAGTGATGTGTTAGTGTTTCTAAATCTCATTGATTTCACTGGGAGCATTGAGCCCTTACCTAACTCCTTGAAATAAGAGGGGCTAAAAATGTTTAACTGCAGCTGGATCATCACTAAGGTTTCCAAAATGAATTGACTATATTTGGCTTTAGTAATATATACTGCGTACTTTTAGATAACCCAGTGAGATTAACCCCTGACATTTATAACTGATATGTTTGTGTGAGAGCCACTTCGTAATGATATTTTTCCTACATGGAAAATGTTTTTCTTCTGAGTTTGTGTTCCTTGAGCAAAGGGACGGGGGCCAGGCAGAGATACTGGAAAATGCCCAGGTCTCCCAGTCCTTAACAGTCTGGTCCACTGAATTCCTGTGTACACTTGTCACACATGGAGAGCTTTGTGGAGCTTTCTGGGGATGTTTCCATTGCGGGTTCTGCACCCACAGTAGGGTTGGATTGAGCACTAATGTAGTGTAATGCCAACAGTTGTGTTCAAGGGACTGTATTATGAATTCTGCAGTGCTTCAGCCCTGTGGGCAAAGAGGAGCCCTGCTTCCCAGTAGCTGGCTTCTAGCAAAAGAAATGTTAACTTGGTGCACTTTCATGTATATAAAGCTGCTATAGTAATTTTAAGAGGTGTTTTATATGTGTTGGTTTACATTTTTCTTTATCCCTGATCTTTCTACAGAGTTTATGGTTACTAAAGCACTTCATTTTAAAGGCAGAAGGGGGAAATTCTTACAACATATATAAAATTATGAAAGAGTTTTAAAAATGTTCTTAAAGCCACCTTCTGCAACCATATCTAGCATGTGGAGTTTAACCTGCATCCTTTTGCAGCCCAATTGACCTTGATACTGATCAAGCAGTTCATCACCCATCCCTGATATTTTGTGGGCCAAACAGACTTTATTTTAAATCTGCATGTAAAAGCTATTGAGATTTGTCTGTTTGTTTTTAATTATTCTAGAGTAAACATAGGGTAGGGCTCTCAATCCAGCTTGGTACCCCAGCACAGGGGATAGCTGGGGCTTTTTAGAGGCAGATCCAGGCCGCTGCACCTACTCTAGAGTAAAAATGAACAAAAAAATAGCTGCTTGAGTCAAATTTAAAGTCACATCTGCCTTGGCCCTGTATAAGTAAGAAAGGGATATTGGAAGGGGATTTGCCACCTGGTGATGACAGCCTACAGCCAGTCAGAAATGGCAAAAAAAGGGGACACAGCAGATTCCAGTAAACCCATACCAGCCTTTTGGATGATAGAAGCAAGCAGAGAATGAGCAAAAACTTCTGCAGATAACGTCCAAACAATGGGACTGTCAGCTAAGACATAGTCTTAGAATGTCATGTTTATGGAGAACAAATAGTTTTTATTTTTGTTTGCTACTATTACTCCTCTCTTAAAATATTCCACCTTTGCTGGCTTTGCTAATTCCAGGATCCTATTGAGTTCAGCTCAAAGTTGCCTTGCAAGCTGTTAGGCTGCAGCTAGATATGCCTCATTCTGCCCAAGGCTGCCCATCCCCTTCCCGCTGGGAGGTGGGGGAATGGCACCAAGCTGTGCCACAGCCTCCCCCTCTTCTCCTTGCATCCTTTTCTCCTTCTTTGTGATTTTTGTGGGGAAACAGGAAAAGCTGTCAATTTTCAATTATCAACCCAGTAGCGCTGCCATGCTATGCATTAACAACTCTCTAATTCTTTTCCATGTTTATAGCAAGCCAGAAAGCCTTACGATGTACGTGATGTTATAGAGCAATATTCTCAGGGCCATCTCAACTTAATGGTGCGGATAAAAGAGCTTCAAAGAAGGTACAGTATAGAATCCAGCTGCCCAAACTGATGGATAACTGCATGATTTATCTAACTTATGTATGGCCCAGTCACTGAAGCTGATGACATAAGGTCTTTAACAATTGCTGATCCTACAGCTGACCTATGGAACAAAGGCATTACATTTCTAAACCAGCAGTGTGCAGAACAGAATATAGTACAGAGTAGCATGGAGTACAAAGATGTGAAAGGGAGGAAATGTACATAGAAACACAGAAAATGGAAAGGAAAGAAAGTTGGGGGGAGTGCTCTTTCAGAAGATGAGATTTGATTACTTGTTTTGAACATGATACATTGACCTAGCAAATGTTTGTTTAGTGATTAATGATGGTACAAGGAAGAAGCAGCAAGCTAAAGATGGAGTGCATGACCCTTTCCCCATCTAGCAATTCACCCCCACACACACATCCTTCCCTCTTCTGGGCTTATTTTCAGGCTCAGAGCTGGCTCCAGTTTTGGCAGTAGGAGTGGGAAGGTAAAGTGAGGTTGGGCGGCAAGGGAAGGGTTAAGGTCTACCCTCTTCCCTTCAGATGTCCCCTGTATTCACACATCAGACATTATGAAGCTAGCATGGATTGGGAACACCATGTTTGTCATATATTTCAACTCCAGGAAAAAGGAACAAGGATGAAATAAGGTTGCATTGGGTTGGAAATGTGATGCTATTTTTCCTGTGCCTTTCTCACTCCCATTTTCTTCATCTTCAGTGTGAGACCTTTAGAAACAAGGGAAACCATCCCCCATATATTTAAAAATAAATGGTTGATTTTACCCTCCCAGGCCATTGAATAGGATAGGAAGAAAATCAGAGCAAATAAATATTGAGTAGGTTTGTGCAAAATAAAATGATTACAGAAATTGCCTGATTGCTGCCAATGGACCTGTTTTTACTTAAGCATTTGAATTCTGAGAGGAAGGAGAAAATAACACTACTACCACAATATTTCATTCAACAAAAAGCAGAATTCCTTCAGTGGTGCAATCGTGTCAGTGCTTTAGAAGAAAGTTTTAGAAGACTGTCGTCTGTTTTGCTATTTGAGTGGCTTCTTCACAAAGACCTATTTGGATCAGAAAACCGCCTTAATGTTCACAGCTAAATGTTCAAAAGAGCACTGCATGTGCGCCAGTTGCTTCATACATGAGGCTGGAGTAGCAACAATAATTGCTATTTATTTTCTCTCATTCACTCTGAACAAACGTCTGTCCTCTTACTGATACTTTTGCCTTTGTTTCTTGTTAGGCTGGACCAATCTATAGGGAAACCATCATTGTTCATTTCTATCTCAGGTAAGGCTTCATCAATAAAAAGCTGTGGAGTATGTCTACCTATGCCATCTGTTAGATGATGGATGTGCCTGGGAGGGGAGCCTGGGAAGTGGTGATCTGTTTGATAAATACCTTGTCAGCAGTACCAGTTAAGCCAATTTCACAAGTAAGAACCTAAAAACAGAGAAGTGAAGCACCTAAATTACTGGAAGAACAAGTAACATAGTCTGCCAGTTAAGTATTCTTGCACAATATACAATACAATTACATTACTAGGGTAGATAATAAATAGAATATAATTATTTCTGTGTAGAGCTTTCATATTTAGATTTGATCCAAATGGTGCCAGGTGTTCACATAAGGTTCACAAAATAAAACTAGACCATCCGTCTTTATGCATTTTTGGCATTCTTCACAGCCACTGGATATCCAGCACTTTTTCTACACGAGACTGTTAATCAGCTACACATACTTTAAGTTTCATTGCAGCATTGCTGAATGCTACAAGTTTCCTTTCCTGCTTTTCTACTACCTAACCTCCAGGTGGCGCTGTTTTATAATGGAATGACACAAGAGGAAATCACACCTTCTTGCATCTGTACAATTAAATTCTGCATTTTCTTGCTCTTAAAAAAAAACATGGGAAGTGCTCATTGAGTAAAGAAGTGAAAGTGGAAGGTCACAATGTACTGGCTAACTACAGGCCCATTGTTAATCTCCCCTTTTTGGGTAATGTGTTGGATGGAGCAGGTAGTGGCCAGGCAGTTGCAGGCACTCTTGGAGGATACGGATTATCTGGATCCATTTCAATTGGGCTTTATGCCTGGGTTTGGAATGGAGATGGCCTTGGTCACCCTGTATGATGACCTGTGTAGGGAGAGGGGCAGGGGGAGTGTGACTACATTGGTTCTCCTCGATCTCTCAGTGGCCTTTGACACCATCAACCATGATGTCCTTCTGGACAGGTTGGCCAGGCTCAGGGTTGGAAGCACTGCTTTGCAGTGGTTCTGCTCTTACCTGGTTGGCCGAGTCCAGAAGGTGGTCCTGGAAGACTGTTGCTCTGCACCATGGCAGTTGCATCATGGGGTACTGCAGGGCTCAGTGCTGTCCCCCAGGCTTTTTAATATCTATATAAAGCCACTGGGAGAGGTCTTCTGGAGGTTTGCACTGAGGATTCAGCAATATGCTGATGATACTCAGCTCTACCTGTCTTTTACATCTCATCCAGGTGAGGCTGTCACTGTCTTGAACCGGGGCCTGAGCTCAATAAGACCAGATGAGTGTCAATAAACTAGGGCTTAGTCCTGACAAGACGGAGGTGCTACTAGTAGGGGCTCATCTGACAGCTTGGAGGGGCATCGCCCTGTCCTTGATGGGATTGCACTACCCCTAAGGGACAGAGTCCACAGTCTGGGGGTACTCCTGGACCCGGGTTTGACCCTGGAATATGAGGTGAGCTTGGTGTCCAGGGGTACTTTCCTCCACCTACAGAGGATATACCAGCATTGTCCCTACCTGGACAGACAGAACCTGAAAACAGTCACCCATGCACTGGTAACATCCAAAATAGATTACTGCAAAGTGCTCTACGTGGGGCTGCCCTTGAAGACAGTCCGACAATTACAATCGGTACAGAATAGGGCTGCTTTGTTGGTGACGGGAGCCCCTAGAGCGGCCCACATAACACCTATACTGAAAGATCTTCATTGGTTATCATTTGTGGCCCAGGCCCATTTCAAGGTGCTTGTGTTGACATATAAACCCTAAATGGCTTAGGACCCGGCTATCTTAGGGAGCACCTGCACCTGTATGTGGCTACCCATCCTTTGAGATCTATGCAGGGGGCCCTCCTGTCTGAGAAATTCCTTAAGGAGGTGAGAGGGGTGGCCGCTAGGAGGAGGGCCTTTTCTGCAGCTGTTCCCCATATTTGGAATGCTCTCCCCAAGGAGATTCGCCTGGCGCCTTCCTTACTTTCTTTTCGGTGCCAGGCAAAGACCTTTGTTTTTAAAAAATATTTTACTAACTAATTAGTAAAGCCGTAAGACTTTTGTTTTAATTTTTTGCTTAATTTTATTGTTGTTTTTAATATGTTATTGTTTTTTATTATATTTTTATCTTGTGACCCAGCCACCCAGAGGTGGTGTGGCACAATTGGGCAACATGCAAATATTTTAAATGAATAAATAAAACAATGTCATCTTAAGAACCCATAAACAGTCCTAAGTAGGGGATGATGAGTGCTCAGTAAATGCCTCAGTAAGAGCCCCTGGTCTGCTGTTGCTTGGGTGCCTTTTTTTAAACTTGAAAAACTTGTTTCTTTATTGATCCCTGATCGATCAAACAGTGAACATGATGACTTCCCAACATCAAGCAGCCACTTAGATTTGCCTGTGTCTTTGTTCTTATTCTGAAACGTGGTAGTGGGAAAGACAAGGTTTCATTGCCAAGGGAGTGGGGTCAAGTTTCCCTGTTTCACTGCAGGATCCTGTGCCTCGGTCCAACTTTATAGCTACCTAATACATGGATAATCAAATGCATTTGAATGCGTATTGGTATGCACATCCCACTGCAAATAAGATAGTATATCAAAATTCTCTCCTGCATCCTGCTACAGCTAAACAAGGACTACTGTATCCAACAAAGGCTCATCAGCCCAGTTGCCTTGGTGATTGGGACATGTTTTCTCCTTTCCCCAGCATTCATCCCTTTGTGAACCTTTATGGAAAAGGGTGCAGAGCATCCTTTTAGTTGAGCATCAATGGGGAAAGTCATAAGCATCAATTTCAGCTTAGCCTTAAGTAGGGTCAAGACAAACCCTTTTGCAGTCTATCCCTCTAGCATCCGCTGACCTATTCTCATGCTTGACCTGGTACTGCAGAGCAAGGCAAGCCACGAAGAAGCCCACACACCCCTGTCACAGGCCCCTGGTTATGCATGCAGCTACCTTTCCTGTCAGGAGTGGTTGCAGGATGCAGAAGTGGCATGCCACAAGTTGGTACACCAGCCACCATTCCCTGCGGCTAACCCTGTTCTCGACTCACTGCTGCCAGCAGTGGCACACATGGAGGAGTGCATGAGACTCAATTCCCAGCGAGCATCCCACAAACATTGCGCACAAGAAGCTAGGACTTGGGCTCTGGCCTGTTGCAAAGCCATCCCGAGCCTGAGGAGCTGAGCCCAGGAAATCCGATGGCTCTGGTCCCCTCCTCCCAAATGGATTCCTCACACATCCCTAGCCCTACATGTAAGGATTAAAGGGGAGACACTTGCCAAGAAAGGGTTAAACACTTTTCTCTAGCCTGAGTTGATTTATCCTCCTTAGAACTAGAACTCAATGCAACTGTACATAGAAGCCACTTGTAAGGAAAAAAAAACACATAAAGGTTAATATTACTAGTTTACTAAATTTCAAATTAAATTATGCAATAGAACTGAGAAATCATTCCAGTTTCATTAGTCATGAAATAGAGGGCAGAGGTATATATTTTAGCACATAGGGCAATTTTCTTGTTGTTGACTATCCAAGGGTATTGCCTAGTGAGTCCGTAGGACAAGTATAAGTGGGCCACTGCTGTAGTCAGCCATTGAGGGTGCAGACGTATGCAGTCACACAGGAAAAAATCCCCACACTTGCAGCATGTCACAGCCAGTTTAGCTCATCATTCTTTGTCTTCCATAATTCACAGCTGAATTAGGCTCTGTGTATGCTTTGCTTCTATAGTAATCAATAAGCTTTATTCTTATTGAATCACAGGTATCCAAGATTATTCAATCTTCAAATGTCATGTATCAGAACTGTATATTAGGAAGTTATTCATTGTAAACACCTGCAAGCGTGCAAGTGTACCTCAAGAGCTATGTACCAGCCCCTACTGTAGTACATTCTTTAGCTAAATTTATTTTTAAATTTAATTGGCATTTACTAAATTGAATGCAGTTTAATTTTCCTGATTTAAAGCATAATATGAAGCCAGAATGCACTCTCTATTTGAGGCCATTAAAAGGCAAGGCTAAGGTCGATAGTATTAAAGGAATTAAAAAGCTGAGCTTAATGTAATAAAATTACCCATCTGTCAGCAGTGTTCAATTAAGTAGCTCTGGTAGGCTAGTTAAATGGAGTCACATGGCTTCATTCTATACTATTGTAACATTTGATATTCATCTAAAAATGTTCTTTCTATACAGAAAAAAACAAAGACCGAGGGAATAATACAATCGGTGCCCGACTGAACAGAGTAGAAGACAAGGTAGGCCTAAATCAGACTGTCAATAAACAACAATTGTGCTTGTCTATATGAAACAAAACAAGCACACATGCACACACTCTTACCTTATGGCACTTTTTAAAATCACAATTTTAACTTCAATGAGACACAAGAAATCAGACAGCCTTTAGAAGAATATATGTTGCAACAAGTGATTGAGCAACCTACATATGAGAACATGAGCAAGGATAGGAGGTAGTTTGGAAGAGACAGAAGGATAGTTTCACATAAACAATGTACTTTGAATAAGAGGATGACAGATCTTGTTTGTAAAAGAGAATGAGCAGATGTGTTATGCAGTATTTTTCTGCACTTGCAAATGAAGTTAATAATATGCTTGGATGTGCTTGGAATGAACAGATATACCTCTAGCTTTATTAACTTAATCTATTTCTTTTGGATCCCACCATTCTTACTATAAAATTGTAACTCAGCAATAGCAATGTGAGATTAAGATCTAATGTATACTGTTACAGTGCATTGCATCTGTTCATCTGTCCTGATTTGTTTTAGCTTGTTAGTTGTGTTCTTTCTAGCTGTGGAAAGGAAAGAAATCCATCTATTACTAGAACAGCCAGGCAATTGCCAGTAAGCTTGGGATCAAATACAAGTAAGACACAAAAGAAGAGGAAACAGGAAGTGAGCGGTTATCAAACAACTGGAGCAACTGAAAATTTGCTAACAGGGAAAAATAGTAGTCATGAGGATGGAAGGATCTTGAAAGTGCTATTGATTTTATAAGAAAAGGTCTAGTTCTCTCACTTATACACACTGCTCTTCATGCATACTGTATCCTTTCCTCCTCTTGTTTCTTCTTTCCTCTTCTTTTCACTGCCATTCTTATACACGGGCCTTTGGCTCTACCATTCTGTAGATCTGGGAAGGATGGTGGACCACAGCAGCAGCAGATAGTGGGAGGGAGGAATAGCTGCCAGTTTCACTCTGATAGTCTGTGTTCCAGGAATATACAAAGGGTTTGGTGGTGCCAATAAGGATCCAAGCAGTGTTAGCCACACTGGACACAGGGTACAGGCACAGTTCCCAACTTGTCCTGCTTGACAGATTAAATCTGTGCATCAAGTGAAACTTCTGGATGCTCTTCAAGGGGAGCATTATGTCAAGCATGCTGGAAGGTGTTGAGGGTAACTGTTCCTAACTTTGGAACGGACCAACTCTGGGCACACTAGGAGAAAGTGTGCAAATGCCCAACTTGCCTCCTGAAAATCCAGGGATGGCACAAGGCAGTCAGGCTATGAATCTCCTCCACAGCCAGCAGGAGAGCAGCCCCACCTAGAAAGAGGTTGAGTCCCAGTCCCCTTGCCTGACTTCCCGCTGTCCAGCAGCACTGCCCTCTTGAATGGCTGTGACTGCACCTCAGGCACTTTCATCCTGCCTACTCTCTGATGTTTGGAATCTTGGTGTAAAAAAGCAGAAAACAAATGATTCATAGAATTGTTACTCATTTTTTTCAGCTGTATTTAAAAGAATGACATTAAAAATAGTTGACTTTTCCACTTTGCTGTTGTGAAGCAATTGTAAACTATGTGGTCATATTTTTAATTCCTTTTTAGAAATAAAACATGTCATGTTATTGTCTGTGCCACTAGCATTGTAGACTTGTCTTTCCCCCTCCCTGACACTCATTACTGCTTTTGTTTGCACAGACAGTCTTTTAAACATCATCTCATCAACAAAGGCAACAGCATTTGGTATCAGTCCCCATATTTTCCTCTGTGGCTATGATTCTCTCCTACAATTCTCATGAGACGAGAGCAGAGAAAGAAAATCAGGCAAATTTAGTATGGTTGCAAGATAATGCTCACAGGGTACAGTATCTCTTGTACTGTTATGGTAGCAGTTCTGATGGTATCAGCCAGAGTGGTGGGAAGATTGTGCTGTAAGGGTCATACCTCAGAAATACTTCATAAGAAGGGCTTGGCGTGGAATGTGAAGAATATTTTGCATTTCAGATGACTTTGTTCCTGTTGCTTGGCCCAGAGCCTGTCTCTTCCCCACCCCCCAAGCACCACACACAGAGGAGGAGGTACCACACACACCACACACAGGAGGAAGCACCCGTGGAATAGATGTAGAAAGTATTAGAGTGGGCACAAAAAGGTCCTTTCTAATACTTAACATTTTTAATTTAGTCAGTAGATTTGAAATATATGCGTGGAGTATATAACAAATGTGGAAGGAAGCAGAAAGAAAGCGGATGACAATGAGTCTTTGTAGGGCAGGGTGGGGAGCCATTTTCAGCCCGAGGGCCAAATTGGCCCCAGGCCAGGATGACAAGGGCTGCATGCCAGCACTAGGCAGCTCTTTTCAAGCAAAATTTGTCTGCTGTAGTCCTTCATAGTGGTTTGCTGCTGAAATTGGGTAACAAAGCATCAAGATTTGGTTACCCCTTCATATTTTAGCAAGGGGTGCAAGAGGACCCTGCAAGCTACACGTTGCTCACGTCTCCTGTACAGGCTGATGATGCTAACATAGGCTTGGGTTTCAGGAAGACATTTTTCCACTGTGAATTAGATCCAGATGGCTAGATAAAAGAACAACCATAGTGCAAAAATATAGCTGTATTTAATGTTATAATTATTAAAATACTGGGCTGTGAGCATAAAAACATTAAAATTTAGGTGCAAATGCTTCTGACTGTGTTTATACCCACACTCTGTTCAGACTGTGTATCCAAAATGCTGTGATATAACTCCTGACAGTGAAAATTAAGGTGGAAAAAGTTAGGAAGTTACTAGCAAATCAAATAAACAGGGATGCTGTTATTTTTAAATAAGTGACTGATCTGAAGGCTGACTGTTTGTGTCTGTATTCTTCTGTGTAAAAGAAACAGGCAGCAAATCTGAGGTGAGTCACTATCTTCCAAATGATGCAAATCCTGTTTTGTCTAGCATTTCAAAGATAAATTGATGATGAAAGCAGGATTTGAAACTGAGCTCATGCCGTTCTTGGGTGCAATCTACACACATCTGAGGTAGAGTCAAAGTGTACTGTGAATATGCAAAAAAATGCCTCGTTAGGATCATTTGGGAGTGGGTGGCACGAAATGCTTTGAAACATTTGTGTTAATAAAATGTTTCTTGTAAGTCTGGTAAATCACCACATCAGGGCATTTCTTTATGGAAAAATAGGCCAGTGGTTCTCAGATCTCTGATACAAGAGATACATTCACATTTTAATGGTGGTGCTGAGACCTCATCTGTTTTAATGTGATACTAAAATTAAATACTGTTGGGCTAAATTTGGCATAATGAAGTATCTGTCAAAAGCAGATTGATACAGGGTCACCTGAGCTGAATGTTTCCATGCAAGTCGTTCCACAAAACTTTTATTTACATTAGAATGTAAGACTGAAGGTCTGTCTAGTCCTGCATCCTGTTTCCTATGGTGGCCAACCAGTTGCCTCCAGGGAAGGTGTGAAGGCAACCGCCCTCTCCTGCAGTTTCAGCAACTGATCAGGTAAACTGTACATTAATACACATGTAAAAACAGCTGGTAGGAAGATGTGGGGTTTGGATCCAAATTTAGTCATGCTTCAAGCAGACCCACTGCAATCAATAGGTCTAAAGATAGGTATGACTACTTTACCGTACTGATTTTAGAAGGACAGCTCTAAGCATAACTAAGAGTGCGTTTACACATTATGCTAAAGCCACTCCTGTGAACAAGCTATATAGTGGGGGTTATGTGTTGAAGAATCCACAGTATGCCTGGCAGACTTTACAGCTGGCCATGGCTTGTTCTCACCCTCCTTCCTCCTCAGTCCTCATGGGGAAAATGTTTGTACCTGCAGTAACTGATGCAGGTACACACATTTCCCTTTTGTTCACCTCCCAACTTTTTATTTTATTTTATTTGGATTTTCTAGACAGAAACGTGCATATATTTACATGTGCGTGCACCCTCCCTCATATGCCTGACACCTCTAAGAAAATCACAACCTAGTGGTAGATGAATGGATTAGTGTAAATGAAGAACTGGAACCAGAAGTGCTTGATCCATTGCCCACGGGGCATTGTTCCCTGGGTCCCACCCACCCACCTCCTCATACTGTTTTTGTAAACTATCATGGAGCCTCAGTAACAGCAGCACTAAATGCTCTAAAAACAGCTGTGATAGGGGGGAAGTTATTATCTCCCCCTCTGGGGAGAACTTAAGGCACTGAAAACTGTCAATGCTGTGTATAAAATTGAGAGAATTATATTGGTAATGGAGTTGTGGCTTCTGCATTTGATGTAGCTACTTTTTCCTATTTTCAGTCCTTTTCCGTGGCATAAATGGGTGCACCTTTCCCTTACTATTATTTTTTCCTAATCCTTGTCCATTTTGTGCAAATTAATCTAGGCACAGTCTTGTCTTGTCAGTTTCCTTGTATGCTGCTTATTGTATGTCAGACCTCCCTTTGGTAGATGAAATGTACAAGCAAGGTTATGCATATGGGCCAGTTGCAAGAGAGCTCCTGCATGTTGTAAAAGACCATTGAAAATACATACACAAAAACCATATTTGCACAGCTTTCAGGGAGTGAAAAACAAGGTAGCAAACAAGTGACATTCACTCTTAAGGGCAAATTTCCCTCCTGGGTTTGGACAATATGATAATCCACCAGGATATGAACAACTCCTGGAGCAAGCCATGGTTTGTCCACAAATACAACCCACCCAGAAGAAAGTTGTTCACTTGACATGACAAAATGACTCAACTTGGCTAGCTGTCTGTGATGGGTTGTTTTGTGAACCAGATCTAAGTCTGAATCCAAAAGATGTGCAACAGAGCAACAGCCGTAGCAAGTTGTCACATTTCAGGTGCATGAAAAGTAGCATACAAAGAGCTGCATCTGCCATTTCTCAGCTTCTACATTTGGCACTTGACAGAATGATGAGAAATGAGTGCACAGGTAGAATTGCTCCTGGATGAACTGAAATATGATTCCTCTGCTAGGGGACAAGTACACAAGAGTTCTG